AACAGTTCATGTTTCTCCTTTCTGTTCTCTAGAAATGTCCCTAGGTTCTGACGAGGAAAATTCGTTTAACAATCGGGAGGTTCTTTATTTGGTGATTATTTTCTTTCAGTCTTGTGACCTTTGATTCAGGGGTGATATTGTGAGGAGAAAACAGATGCTCTTTACTCGTACCTGTCAAAGGGGTGTTTTAATATACAAGAACAAGAGAATGTAAACAGTTAAATTATCTTGGAAAGGAGTAAAAAGAGAAAATATTTTTTAATTAATTTCGGTAAAATGTGACACATGATGTGCGTGGTTAAGAACACGTGCCTCCTTAACTAGAACGCTCATTTCTGAGCTAATCAGATCTCGAATACCTCTTTACAGACTAGCTTTAAAATAGTTTTCGATCTGAATTGAAGTGATGGACCAGCACAATTCAATTTCTATTATTATTTAATATGTAAGAAGTCAATTACCTAAAAAGTTAAGTACTAACGTCAATGAAATGTGACACAATTTTGGTAAAGAAAGGCAAATACATCAACACTGTCGTTCAAACTACCGTTTTTGCATTCTCAATATTTGAATAGTGTCATCCGTTGTGGCGTAGGATGAATGGATAGCGCTTTTTTTAGAAAACGTTCCAGTTTGAGAGAATGATCTCAAACACCTGTTTAAAACTGGTTTTCTGTATTCGAATTCATAGCTGTGAAAGAAGGTGTCCAATCTTAACTGAAGAGAGGGAGCAGCAAAAGTCATATTTGTGGTATTCATCTCTTTATGGTATGTAAAACGTCTACAATTCGATCAAACTCGATCTACTTTCAGTCAAATGTGGCACTCGATGTGCTGAGTAAGAGGAATAGTTTTTAAGACTGTTGGGCATGGCGGCGTAATATAAACAGACAGCTCCATCCAAATAAAAACATTTTATACTTGCATGGGCTAATGATCTAGTACAGCTTTTTACGGACAGGTTTCTATATACAAATTCATTTCTGCAAAAAGCTGTTTGATTTAAATTGAAGTGAGGGAGAAGCAAAGGTCACATTTCATTTCTTCTTGATAGGTAAAAAGTTGGAAACATGGAAAAGTTAAGGTTCATATTCAGTAAAATGCAGCTTATAATCTACCTGGTAAAAGACATGTTATTTAAGTAATTCCAATTAATAGTTTACTGGAAAATACTGCCCCAAAGACTGAGAGGCAGAAAATGAGAAATTTCAAAAGCAAGAACTGGTTTTTCCATGTCGCTTTCCGATGAACAAAGATTCTACTGTGCCATGACCAACATTTAAGGGTTAGTCATTTAGAATCTGTCCGCCAGGATTACAACAATTAAAACCTTTTTCATATTTTCATATTTAGAAAATTGTGAAAGACACATCCCTTGAAGCACTCACAATAACACGGACACTTGAAATCTAATGAGAAATGGTTTTAATTTTTATCTACACAAGATTTAATGAGAAGATACGGAAGAAGAAGTCGAAATAAAGGAAAAAGCACGGCACTTAGCAAAGTTTTTTTATCCAATCTTATGAAAAATGGAAATTGAAGTGAAAGCCTCATTTTAAGCACAGTGCTGTCTTTAAAGCAAAATAAGCTCTGAAAATAGTTATAATATTGCCAGGCTGCATTGCGTCGAACAATTTGCGTAAAGAAAGGCAAATACATCAACACTGTCGTTCAAACTTCCGTTTTTGCATCCTCAATATTTGAATAGTGTCGTCCGTTGTAGCACAGGATGAATGGATAGCGCTTTTTTTTTAGAAAAAGTTCCTGTTTGAAAGAATGATCTCGAACGCCTGTTTAAAACTAGCTTTCTATATTCGAATTCACAGCTGTGAAAGAAGGTGTTCGATCTTAACTGAAGTGAGGGAGCAGCAAAAGTCATATTTGTGATATTCATCTCTTTATGGTATATAATTTTTGATCAAACCAGATCTATTTTCAGAGGCGTAGTTTTTTTAACACTGTGGCGCATGGCGGCGTGATATAAATGGACAGCTCCTTTCCGATAGAACATTTCATATTTGCATGGGCGAATGATCGGGTGCAGCTTTCTACTGACAGGTTTCCTATGTACGAATTCATTTTTGCAAAAAGGTGTTTGATCCAAATTGAAGTGAGAGAGAAGCAAAGGACATATTTCGGATATTTATTTCTTCTTGATAGGTTAAAAGTTGGAAACATGGGAAAACTAAGATTCATATTCAGAGAAATGTAGCTCATAATCTACCGAGTAAAAGACAGGTTTATTAAATAATGAATAGTTTACTGGCAAATACTTCCTTACGGACTAAGTGACAGAAAATGAAAATTCTCAAAAGCAATAACTGGTTTTTCCATGCCGCTTTCTAATGAACAAAGATTCTAACGCGCCTTAACCAACGTGCAACTGTTGGTCATTTAGACTCCGTCCGCCAGGATTACAATAATTAAAACACTTTTCATATTTTCATATTCGATAAATTGTGAAGGACACATCCCTTGTAGCACTCACAATAACACGGACACTTGAAATCTACTGAGAAATTATTTTAATTTTCATTTATCAAGATTTACTGAGAAGGTAAGAAAAAGGAAGTTTTCATGAAATCGAAATAAAGAGATACAGCACTTGGCAAAGTTTGTATCAAGTTTTGTGAAAAATGGAAATTGAGGTGAAAGCCTTATTTCCAGCAAAGTACTGTCTTTAAAGGCACATTTCTAACCTTCAATGCGGTCGTTTGTTTTTGTTTTGAACCACCGCTTTTGTTTAAATACCGCCTCTGATTGGTCAGTTATTTTTACCGTGTCACGTTGTCTCAAAATACCTACTGCGTTTCCTTCGATGAGTTTGAAGAGCTTGTCAAAACAATTGTGTTTAAAACAGTTCTATACGTTTTAATCTGGTATGGAATCAGATGAATCCAATGATTTAGTAGATTCTGTGGCACTGAACGCTTATGGATCGGTTGTTGCTAAAGAGGAACACGAAAATCCTTGCGAGCATTTTAAAGAATGTGAAAATGTTGATCCATCACATTTTCATTCATTCATCAGTTTTTTTTAATTGAAGTTTGCCATCCTTGTTAAATAGGATCAAGGGTCAGTTGAAGTTTCCTGCCCGTGGAGAGGAGCTTGCGCTCGAAAGAGTGGTCGAGGTTGTTGTCCATGCAAAGCAGCAAATAAGAATTGTAACGCAAACCGTCAGTGTCGCTAACGTTCCCGCGGCAATGAAGTGACTAAACTTAAAATAATTAAATGTCCGCTCGTCCGATATTTTTCCATATTTCTCTTCGAAATCCAAAATATATTTATACGAAAATGTTCTACCTTTATTTACAATCTTCAAGCGCTTCTATGCAGCCTAAAAATCGAACTTGATGTTTTTCACTAACCTTGTATACAGCCATCCGAATGCTTGACACTCAAAAACTTTTCAATGACACAGCTGGACACGGTCCTCAAATAACTCCATATTTCTCTTTGAAATATACCAATTTTTCGTTGAAAAATATTCTACCTTCATTTACAATCCTCCAGTGCTTCTAGAAAGCTAAAAAATTCCAACGTTGTCTGTTTTGCTGACTTGTACACAGAGTGCGAAGAGATCCAAGCATGACACTAAGAAAATTTCACCGGACACTACCGGACACGGTCTTCGAATAACAAAACGTCCGGCGGTCTGATATTTCTCCATATTTCTCTTTGAAAAATACCAATTTCTATTGGAAAATATTTCATCTTCATTTAGAATCCTCAAGCGCTTCTAGAAAGTGAAAAAATTCGAACGTTGTCCTCTGTTCACAGAGTACGAAGAGATCCAAGCGTGACACTAAAAAAAAATTTTTCTTCGGATTCTATCGGACAAAATTCGAAATACTGCAAGGAAACTGTTAAATGACGAATGGTGAATGTATTTACCGTAAAATAGTTAACTATATGTCCAGGATGACTCTTGAGAAAGACGATTTTAGAAGGTTTTCAGTGATCTGGGGAACTTCGTGTTACAGGAAATTGGGTCGAGGCGCGCGTTGCATCCAGGTTGGAAACGGGCCTAGCAAAATAAGCTATTTGAAAATAGTTATTATATTACCAGGTTGCATCGTGTCGTTTACAATAACTGTGTGTCGTAAGCAAGTTCTCCTAAAGTGGCAACTTTGCAGACACAAAAAGATGATTCTTGTTTCCCCTGCTCAGAAAAACATCATATCAGGAAACAACACTGAAAAAGACCTGAACCAGCTAAGATTTGCACCGTTATCCCTTTCCTCACTTATACCAACTTTTGAGAGCGGGTTTTGAATCTGAACTTATTCTCACAGAATACTTATCTGTACTACTACATTTTGCTAGTTATAGCTTCCACAGCTTTACACTAGTGTCACTTCTGTTATGGTTTATGTTGCTCTTTTATCATCTAGCTTATTGGCAGCAGAAACTTCGCCATCAAAATGAACAACACCTCCAGTACATCAATACAAAATGGTAAGGATGGTATCCGGGACATTGTGATTATGTTCTTCAATGTCGTTGGTTTAGCTCCTGTAGCTTTTATAGCCAAACTTGTCAGCAACTAAAGCACACGCACTCAAAGCACCCGTTAAACATTGTCGCTTTTAGTGCTACGTATGTTTTTCAATGGATATTCATATTCATCAATGGCGGGAATAAAACTTTCCAAGATAATTTGTTTTCGCCAGCTGGGGTCAACTATCATTTAGACAGTCCATGCAGACAGTCCACCATAGTCGCAGTCGATCACTAAAAACTGAATATAAAGGAGAGAGGTGATTTAAGGGTGGGGCTTCTTATGAGTGAAATCCTTTGCTAGGCTAATCTGCACTACTACATCCGCCGAAAACCTTTATTAAAGAATTTGCAGTGATTAAAAAAAAAGGGTCATAAACGTCCAAAAGCAGCTTTTTACTTTCTCTTCCCGTTTGCAGTGGTAACTCATAATTTGGCGATTTTTGATTCCCTCTGCAGCATCAAGCACCCCACCCCCTCCAGAAGACATCTCTCAGGAATTCAAAACTGGCATAACATGTGCATATGCAGTTATTTTTATCATCGCTTTCCTTGGAAATTCATTTGGGTTGTACGTTGTGCTAAAGAGGTCTTCTTCTACCTGCGTCACGAACTTGTTTATCGCCAATATGGCCGTTGCAGATCTGATGTTGACGTGTACACTCATGCCAGTTCAGGTGAATTTCATTCATAAGCATGTTTCTTGGATTCCGGGAACACTGGGAATCGTGACATGCAAGCTGGTGTCCTACATCATCCCAGTTTCAATAGCAGCAACTGTGTTCACGATGATGTTCATTTCCTTCGATCGATTTTACGCCATATTCTATCCACTGAGAGAGAAGATCTTCTGCAAGCCAAAAATATTGTCCGCCACAATTTGGATTCTATCTTTAGTGCTGATGGTCCCATATCCTATGTTGTACCAAATAAAGTATAATCCTCAAGAGAACAAGCATTTATGTTTACAAGTGTGGCCATGGCAAGACAAGAACGATGTTTCAAATGCTGAAACCTATCGCGTACTTAGGATCTTTCACATCACGATTTTCGTTGTGCTTTACGCATGGCCCCTTACAGTAACCATCGTCATCTACTTCTTAATTTGCCGTAAACTATGGCTTCGAAAGATCCCAGGAAATGTGACAACTACCAATCGCGCTGCAGCTGAAAAATCCAAACGCAAAGTTGTTCGGTTATTAGTCATAATCGTCTTGGTCTTTGCAATCTGCTGGTTCCCAAATTATATTGATCATTACATTTGGTTCGTGCGACCTGACCTTGTGAACTCGATACCGGTGGAAGCACAGCTAATGTTTTTGTGGCTCGCGCACGCAAACAGTGCAATAAATCCATCACTTTACATTTTGCTGAACAGCAAATTTCGCAAAGAACTTTTCATCACGATGACTTGCTGTCCTCGTTATCGAGTCAGGATGGCACGCTTTTTGTCGGCTTTGTCACAGAATGAGGAGGAGAACAGTTTTACAACTGGAGGTACCATGTGGAAAATGATGTCGTTTGGTCGAGTAACGGCATACACGTTGCCGCGTAGTCCCTCAGAGAAGCGGGAAAGAGGGCACACTAACCTGTCTTTGTCATGGATGAGCATCAAAGAAGGCCACTCGTACACAAATAGTACACCACCTCAGAACCAGAATCCTAACTCCTCACAGAACACTGGTAAAAGCGGAGAAGACATGCTCCAAGTGTACCGTTTGTCTTAAAAGCTGGTTTATAGATGTTTTCCTTGGTTCACAAGCAAGGTGATCAAATCTCACAATGAAACTATAAGGTCTTTTTTTTCTTTTTAGCTCATTCATGCTGAAAGCAATGAATGACGTATCGTGGTGGAGCAGATATTGACGGAAGTTGTCGAACGTGGACGGAAGTTGTATTCCGTGGACGGAAGTTGCATTGTGGACCGTGAACGGAAGTAAACTCGCATGCTACCCCTCCCCAGTTAGTGAAAGTCAAGATTAATTTCGTTGAAGCTCAGAAACTCACGTTGAAAGAAATAAAATGTTTACATGGTTTAATAAAATAATAACCTCAATTCACATTTTCGAACTTCTGAAAATGCAACTTGAATCAAGAAGCCGAAATGTTCACACCTAGGAGACCCGCGAAAGAGCATCAAAAGTCGCCATATTGGTAAGCCACGCATTTGCGTTCGTCTTCAGTCTGTATAAAGTAATCATAGCTCTATCATTGTACTTTTCCTCGTGAGCTCCTCAACATACAGTCCACACATCAGTCATAGCGGCCAAGATAGTCTCACTAGAATTTTTTTTCGAGCTCCAATATTTCGGTCCGGACTTGAGGCTCGCTCGAACAAAAACAGCAATACCAATCCGGTCATTAAAAAATGCAGACTGCTGACTGCAGACCGGGTACAAAATGCAGACTGAGAATTTATACTGTTTTTTCGTCTGATACGTGATAACATGTCATCTTGCAACTTACTGAGCGTCACGCAATTGCTTTTCCGCGATTGTCTTTCATGATTATTTGCACTATTGTGGAAAATTCCTTGCCCGTTTCTTGATCACAGTCGTTCTTAATATAATTTCAAGCCTTCATACAGTCTTCTCACTTTGCGCGCGAGTTGGTTGGTGAGATGTCGGTACAGAATTTACTAACTCATTAAAAGTAGATGTAGATGGAGATGTAAAGGAGATGTCACTATTGAATATTTAATACGCGAAATTTTCGAGAAACAATTGACAGCTTTGCACGTGGTTCATACGTTTCATCGTTTTGACCGATATGTGTTCATTTTGTTGACAAAAATGCGGATCGAGACCAACTGATTTTTCCATATCATGTGCCTTATATTGTTATTGGCTTAGTACATGAGGAACCAGCGAATTTTTGAAGGAAAAGCGAAAAGTTGCTTTCGTGACTGGCCATTTGCTTACTTTTCTGGTGGTTTTATCTCTCATCTCTTTCGTTACTACGCAAAAATACACACCAACAAAAAGGACACTGTCTGCCTAATGACCTCTGTTCATCCTACCTTCAGCCCACACAACCTTTTTTCCAATTCTCATCACGACGAACGCACAAGTTTCCTTATCTCACAACTGCCCAAAAATAGGAGAGAATTTATTCTTAAAGTCTTGAAAGTTCACATAAACCGAATTCAACTGTACCTATATTCAACAAATCCAAGAAATCGATACAAACCTAAGCCAAAACATGAATGAGCTGGCTCTAAGAGCGCTGGCTTTGATTTCCTCGTGCATTCGACACCAAAATGTTAATTAAACAAGAGTAAGCGTCAGCTCACCACTGCTCAGGAAAGTAGTGAGTTCGAATTCCACGACTGAAACAGCTTTGCTGGGAAATTTGACCAGACATAACTAAACTTGTATTTGTACTGTTTCCTGAACATATTTCATGTCAATCATTTTTTTTTATAATGCAAAACGGAAGGATGGTTCAATCACTGACGTCATAGCACTGACGTCAACGGTAGAAAATTAAGCTTACGAGTTTGCTACCCGATATTGAACATGAAGTAGAATTCAAATCTTCGCTCAAATTTTTTTACAACGAATAAATTGTTTTGGAGAATTCAGATATTAAATGAATGAAATTATATCAAAAAAGTAAGTTTCTAAATTTCAGATCATGAATTACTTTTTATAAAAGATTATTACCTCAAGGACGGTTTTTCTTTTTTTCGGCGTGATAATTTCGAAACCAGTTTTTTGCAGGCAACCAAAGTGATTTGAGAGAAGATACACATGTAGTGGACTGAATTATTAAGTTATCCAAATCGAGATCTATTGAGATCATGACCGAAATCTTTGCTTTAAAATGGCGCCTAGCCAGTAAAACACAATACATTTTATGAAAAATGGCAACGAAGCAAGGGATGTACTCAGCGACTCACTTAAGCGTCATCGTACCCGTGGGTAGAGATCCGGACCGTACTAAGAGCTAGTCAGATTTCAAGATTCGCTGCTACACCCTTTTGGAAATAAAATATATGTTACTAATTTCCCAAAAATTCCTTCTGAGCATCTTCTATATTTCATCGTATATCCATAATGACGTGACAAATTGTCAGCGCTCCCTCAAGTGGCGATCTCTGTAAGAGCGGTCTAGGCCGCATCGGAATAAATTTTTGCCACAAACTTTGACCATTAACTATCTTTGGTAGAAAGTAAATAGAATCACATTGGTTTCCGGAAATACGTTTAAAATAATTATGAGGGCTCTCAATAATCAAAGCTGCAAAGGGCCCTTTTTCGACCTTGCGACATCGAAAATTCAAGTTAACAAGCTCGCTTCTTGTAACATACTGCATGCGGCAAGAAATCGTTTGCATTCCTACATTTTTTAATATCTAAGGGGTTTGGAAAGCATTTCAATTTTGACGTTTGCTTATTTAGAGGTTCGCCATAATTTATCTAAAAACACCCGTCAGACAGCTTCTAAAATTGGTCAAAAGTACTCTTTCTTTCTTGGATGTTATTTCTCAAGTCCAGACCAGGCCACTAAAGACTCCGGTTCGTTTCTTCAAATACGATGTTCGATAGCATAGAAACATAAAAACATCTTGCACTATTTAATTTCCTTTGCCGTGGTGACTTTAAACTTTAGGCGACTTTCCTAGCGTGACTGAAGAATTATGCAAATTATCTGTTGAGCAAACTCTGACAGTTCTATATTAATAGCTCCATGAATCTTAGATTTAAACCGTTTAAAAAAAATAGATAGTGGGAAAGAGCTTTTAGAACACACTGATTGCAACTCTAAACATTTTAAACGGCTAAAATCCGGCAAATGTTCACGAAAAAGGTGAACAAAACGTATCGAATATCGTATTGATTAGCGTTCGGTCAACCTTTTAATAAGCAACTCTTTCTTTAGAAAAAAATGGTGTGTGTTATTTTATGTTTGAGTTTAGCGAGCTTAAGTTATTCAAACTTGTATGAACATTTCAGGACCAAACTAAAGGATTTTATTTAGCGTAACCGGCGATAACAGCACAAGACTACGAGCAGTCCCTCCTTTTCGGCGACGGTCGTGGCGCAGGTCGAAAAAAATCAGTGAGGACAAACAAATTTTAGTGCCTCACTCCAAGAGCTCCCGGCGGCGCGCTGACATCTTTTTTTTCTCTATTTTCAGCTCTGGTTATTTACTGACTCGCGCGATGGACTTCACGCCAAAGAAGGGACTGCACGTCGTCTATAACAGCACATACCAAAATTCACCGTGATCATGCAATGGCTCAGTCGCGTAATTCTAAATATTTAATCTATTTATTCTAAATAAGGCAGCGATAACGTGAGTTTTTTGGCTCGGAAGTCTAGCCTAGATTTTCCAGGCTATCAGCCGTGTTTGCACTTGATGAGAGCAGAGAAATACAGGATTTCAGATCAGCGAGAGGAAAATTACTGTCCAAGATCCACAATTTAAGAATGCAAACGATTTCTTGCTGCATGCAGTGTGTGTTACATGGAGCGAGCTCGTCAACTTTTGAAATTTCGATGCTGCAAGAGGTCATAAAGGGGCCTTTTGCAGCTTTGATTATTGAGAGCTTTCAAAAAAATTTTTAATGTATTTCTAGAGACTAATGTGGTACTACTTACTTACTACCAAAGATAGTTTAATGGGCAAAGTTTGAGGCAAAACTTTATTTCGATGAGAAATGCCCCTGGCCGCTGTTTCAGAGATCGTCACTCAATGAGCAAGTTAACGTATGAGCTAATGATCATGGATTCAGTTGAACACAACTTTGTGTTCCATGTGACGAACAGGCATAAATTTCATTTTTCAGGTATTGATTTGATCAATATGTAAGAAATACAATTAAGGAAAAAAGACAAGATCTAATCTCAGTGAAATGTGACACAGTGGGCGTAGTCAAAAGCAAAGTTGTTAACACTGTCGCATAAGCTATTATTATTGGGTCATCAATATTTGAATTATATCGTCCATCATGATGTGAAAAGAATGGAACGCACTTCCTAAATGAAACTTTCCTGTCTGAGTCAATGATCTCAAACACCTATATAATAACTGGTTTCCTGCATACGGCGTTATTGCAAAAAAAAGGGGCGGTACAAATCAATTTTTAAAGTGTTCCTTTCATCAGTATGTAAAAAAAATCAAGTAGAGGAAAAAGATTAGATCTAATTTTAGTAAAATACGACACATAATGAACGTAGTGGGAGTAAAATTTACTTACACCGTCGTATAAACTACGATCATTGTGTCGCTAATATTTGAATGATATCGTCCATCCTGACGTAAGATGAATTGACAGCACTTCCTGATAAACAGTTCCTGTCTGATTTAATGATCTCGAACACCAATATAAAGACTGGCTTTCTGTATACGGATTCACTGCTGTGAAAAAGGGCGTTCGTCAAGAGTTAAAGTGAGGTAGAAGGAAAAGTTACATCTGTAATATTCACTTCTTCTTCAGTGGTATGTAAAAGGTCAATAATTTGATCAAACTAGATCTACCTTCAAACTTCTGCTTTTGCATCCTCTATACTAAATTGATATTGTTTATTGTGACGTAATACTAAGAACTTATAAGTTCCCAATAAGAAATTTATGGACCTCAATTGAACAAGCATTTATGTTCACAAGTGTGGCCATGGCAAGACAAAAACGACGTTACAAATGCTGAAACCTATCGCGCACTTAGGATCTTTCCCATCACGATTTTCGTTGTGCTGTACGCCTGGCCTCTTTCGATAACCATTGTAATCTACATCCTAATTTGTCGTAAATTGTGGCTCCGAAAGATCCTGAGAAATGTGACAACTACAAATCGCGCTGCGGCTAAAACATTCAAACTCAAAGTTGTGCGGTTATTAGTTGTAATCGCCATGGTCTTTGCAATCTGCTGGTTCCCAAGTTATGTGGACATTACATTTGGTTCGTGCGACCTGAAGTTTGCAATTTGTTGCCGGGTGAGGTATAGCTATGCTTCTTGTGGCTCGCCCACGCAAACAGGGCAATAAATTCATGTCTCTATCTATATCCTGTTAAAAAGTAATTTTCGTAAAGAAGTCTTCATTACAATAACTTGCCGTCTTCGTTAACGAACCAAGTTCTTAATTTTTTTATCAGTTTTGAGGGAAATGATTGCATGAAGAAGTGTGATTCAGGGGGGGGGGGGTATTGTAAGAGGAAATTAGATGCCACTCACCCTTAGAGGTCAAAGGGTTAAGAGAGTGTCTCTGTAAGAGTGGTCCGGTCGATTTTGCTTGAGACACGGATTTCGCTCGTTTCTTGTGTGTTGTAAGACATTCATGTACCTATACTAAAACAATTCAATCACCGTGCTTGTCGATCGGAAAATCAAAATACCAGCGTGATATTGCCGCGAAGATGAAGCAGTTGTGTTATTTGATTCGTACTTCACATTCGAGTCGAAGCTTGGGTGGCACAGGTTATTTCTTACGGTGGAATCGACGAGGGGAATTCGAACACTAGTCGTAGTGTTTGAATTGTTGGAAGAAATGGTCGCATGGGGATGGTAAGTTTAACGAACAATTTCAAATTTTGCCGCTTGAATTGAAAGTCCCTCAAAATGGCGGCCAAACTAGGAAATTACCGAAAATTAGGTAAGTTCACAGAGTTATAAAGTCCTCGTTACGGTCGGGCCGCAAAGTTTTTTTCCGTAGTTACCTTTTCTATGACAACTACTTCCTAGCTATGTTAGTTGGATCAGTTTAGAACGCCTCACTTTTTCAAAAATTCTTCTTGAATTTGATCGGTTTTGGCGTGTGTGATTTAGGCGAACCGATAAGGTGTGATTCAAGTCTTCCAGTTTCCTTGATTGAAACGTGATGTCTGCGAAAGTCGCCTCGATAGATAAGATAAAGTTAATATACATGGCTGTGGTATTTGTTTTTTTCTGAGTTCCATAGTTTTTTGTAAATTGTCCTCCAAAGTTGTATGATATTAAAGTCTTGAAAAGTGTCACGACAAGCCTTCGCCCGAGTGAAATTTAATTTCCGTAAAACTCCGAAAAGTAAAGAGATCCGATCAAACTGATTATTGTTTTAGAATAGGTACATGAATGTCTTACAACACGCAAGAAACGAGCGAAATCCGTGTCTCAAGCAAAGTCGACCGGGCCGCTCTTACAGAGACACTCTCTTAACACTGTGGCACAAACAACCGTTATTGCATCCTCAATATCGTCCATCGTGACGTGAGATGAATGGACAACTCTTCCTTGATTAAACAATTCATGTTTCTCCTTTCTGTTCTCTAGAAATGTCCCTAGGTTCTGACGAGGAAAATTCGTTTAACAATCGGGAGGTTCTTTAGTTGGTGATTATTTTCTTTCAGTCTTGTGACCTTTGATTCAGGGGTGATATTGTGAGGAGAAAATAGATGCTCTTTACTCGTGCCTGTCAAAGGGGTGTTTTAATATACAAGAACAAGAGAATGTAAACAGTTAAATTATCTTGGAAAGGAGTAAAAAGAGAAAATACTTTGATTAATTTCGGTAAAATGTGACACATGATGTGCGTGGTTAAGAACACGTGCCACCTTAACTAGAACGCTTATTTCTGAGCTAATCCTGAGATCTCGAATACCTCTTTACAGACTAGCTTTAAAATAGTTTTCGATCTGAATTGAAGTGATGGACCAGCACAATTCAATTTATATCATTATTTAATATGTAAGACGTCAATTAGATAGATAGATAAGAACTAACGTCAATGAAATGTGACACAATTTTGGTAAAGAAAGGCAAATACATTAACACTGTCGTTCAAACCACCGTTTTTGCATTCTCAATATTTGAATAGTGTCATGGGTTGTGGCATAGGATGAATGGATTATCCAATCTTATGAAAAATGGAAATTGAAGTGAAAGCCTCATTTCAAGCACAGTGCTGTCATTAAAGCAAAATAAGCTCTTTGAAAATAGTTATAATATTGCCAGAATGCATCGTGTCGAATAATTTGCGTAAAGAAAGGCAAACACATCAACACTGTCGCACAAACTACCGTTTTTGCATCGTCAATATTTGAAGTGTCATCCGTTGTGGCATAGGACGAATGGATAGCGCCTTTTTAATAAAAAGTTCCTGTTTGAGAGAATGATCTCGAACACCTGTTTAAAACTGGCTTTCTGTCAGTCGAATTCATAGCTGTGAAAGAAGGTGTTCGATCTTAACTGAAGTGAGGGAGCAGTAAAAGTCATACTTGTGGTATTCATCTCTTTATGGTATATAAAACGGCTACAATTTGATCAAACCAGATCTACTTTCAGTGTAATGTGGCTCACAATGTGCCAGGCTAGAGGCATAGTTTTTAACACTGTGGCGCACGGCGGCGTGATATAAATGGACAGCTTCTTTCTAATAGAACATTTCATATTTGCATGGGCTAATGATCGGGTGCAGCTTTCTACGAACAGGTTTTCCATATACGAATTCATTTTTGCAAAAAGGTGTTTGATCTAGATTGAAGTGAGAGAGAAGCAAAGGACATATTTCAGATATTCATTTCTTCATGATGGGTTAAAAGTTGGAAACATGGAAAAACTAAGATTCATATTCAGACAAATGTAACTCATGATCTACCGCGTAAAAGACAAGTTATTCAATAAATTTGTAATTAATAGTTTACTGGCAAATACTGCCCTACAGACTGAGAGGCAGAAAATGAAAATTCTCAAAAGCAATAACTGGTTTTTCCATGCCGTTTTCTAATGAACAAAGATTCTTATGCGTCGCAACCAATATGCAAGTGTTAGTCATTTAGACTCTGTCCGCCGGGATTACAACAATTAAAACACTATTCATATTTTCATATTCAGTAAATTGTGAAGGACACATCCCTTGAAGCGCTCACAGGTACACGGACACTGGAAATCTACAGAGAAATTATTTGAATTTTCATTGGAACAAGATTTGCTGAGAAGGTAAGAAAAAGGAAGCTTTCATGTAATCGAAAGAAAGAAAGAGGTACAGCACTTGGCAAAGTTTATATCAAATTTTATGAAAAATGGAAAGTGAGGTGAAAGCCTTATTTCCAGCAAAGTACTGTCTTTAAAGCAAAATAAGCTATTTGAAAATAGTTATTGTATTTACAGGTTGCATCGTGTCGTTTACAACAAATATGTGTCGTAAACAAGTTCTCCCAAGGCGGCAACTTTGCAGACACAAATAGATGATTTTTGTTTCCCCTGCATCAAAAAACATCATATCAGGAAACAACACTGAAAGACCTGAACTAGCTAAGATCTGCACCGTTATCCCTTGCCTCACTTACACCAACTTTTGAGAGCGGGTTTTTAATCTGAACTCACTCTCACAGAATACTTATTTGTACTATTACATCTTGCTAGTTATAGCTTCCACAGCCTTCCAGTTGTGTCACTTCTGTTATGGTTTATGTTGCTCTTTTATCCATTAGCTTATTAGCGCAGAAACTTCGCCATCAAAATGAACAACAGCTCCAGTGCATCAATACCAAATGGTAAGGATGGTATCCGGGACATTGTGATTATGTTCTTCAATGTCGTTGGTTTAGCTTCTGTAGCTTTTATGGCCAAACTTGTCAGCAACTAAAACACACGCACTCAAAGCACCCGTTAAACATCGTCGCTTTAAGTGCTACGTATGTTGGATTTTCATATTCATCAATGGCGGGAAGAAAATTTTCCAAGATAATTTCGCCAGCCGGGGTCAATTATCATTCAGACAGTCCATGCAGATAGTCCACCATAGTCGCAGTCGATCACTAAAAACTGAATATAAAGTAGAGAGGTGATTTAAGGGTGGGGTTTCTTAAACAGTGGAATCCTTTGCTAGGCTAATCCTGCACTACTACATCCGCCGAAACCCTTTACCAAAGAATTTCCAATGATTAAAAAATTGGGTCGTAAACGTCCGAAAACAGCATTCTGCTTTCTCTTCCCGTTTGTAGTGGTAACTCGTATTAAGGCAATTTTTGATTCCCCTTACAGCATCAACCACCCCTCCTACTGTTCCAGAAGGCATCTCTCAGGAATTCAAATTTGGTATAACATGTGCATATGCAGTTATTTTTACCATCGCTTTCCTTGGAAATTCAATTGGGTTGTACGTTGTGTTAAAGAGGTCTTCTTCTACCTGCGTCACGAACTTGTTTATCGCTAACATGGCCGTTGCAGATCTGATGTTGACGTTTATAATGATGCCAGTTCAGGTGTATTACATTCATGGGGATGTTTCTTGGATTCCGGGAACACTGGGAAATCTGACATGCAAGCTGGTGTTCTACATTATCCCAGTTTCAATAGCGGCAACTGTGTTCACGATGATGTTTATTTCCTTCGATCGATTTTACGCCATATTCTATCCACTGAGAGAGAAGATCTTTCGCAAGCCAAAAATATTGTCCGCCACAATTTGGATTCTATCTTTAGTGATGATGGTCCCATATCCTATGTTGTACCGAACAGAGTATGATCCTCAAGTGGACAAGCATTTTTGTTTACAAGAGTGGCCATGGCAAGACAAAAACGATGTTTCAAATGCTGAAACCTATCGCGTACTTAGGATCTTCCACATCACGATTTTCGTTGTGCTGTACGCATGTCCCCTTACAATAACCGCCGTCATCTACTTCTTAATTTGCCGTAAACTATGGCTTCGAAAGATCCCGGGAAATGTGACAACTACCAATCGCGCTGCGGCTGAAAAATCCAAACGCAAAGTTGTGCGGTTATTAGTTGTAATCGTCTTTGTCTTTGCAATCTGCTGGTTCCCAAGTTATGTTGTTCATTACATTTGGTTCGTGCGACCTGAACTTAGCAATTCGTTGCCTTTTGAAGTACAGTTTTGTTTCTTGTGGCTCGCCCATGCAAATAGCGCAATAAATCCATGTCTATACATCCTGTTAAATAGCAAGTTTCGTAAAGAACTCTACGCTACAATAACTTGCCGTCCTTGTTAACGAACCAAGCTCTTACTTTTTTCTGTCGGTTTCGAGAGAAATGATCGCATGAAGAATATTTAATAACTGGTGGTACAATGTGGAAAACATTATATTTCGGTCGTGAGACGGTTTCTACATTACCACAAATTTTCTAGCGAGTGAGAACTCACTATTCCGACCAAGAATTTAGAACTGTCCTTGTAGATTCGGGTAAAAAGGCAGGAAGCGCCCTATGATACATATTTTTCGCGGAAATCGGAGAGCCCCCCTCCCCAAACCAGTTCGAGGAGGGTGATCGGTACTTCTACACAGTTGCAAATAGTTAATCAGAGAAGCAGAGAAGAGGAAATATCTCATTAAATATATCATTTCTTATGGATGAGCATCAAAAACGCTCACATGTATCCAAATAGTCCTTCACCCTGGAAGCAAATGATGGCTGTCAAATTATGACCAATCAGATGCAAAACTAAAAACCTTTCGCAATCTTGTCACACGTGTTTTCCGTGCGCTATAAAGGCTGGTTTCTAGATTAAACACGTCAACATCTTGGTACACGCCATTGATTTTCATGAAGCCCATACTTTTTTCAACTTATAAAAGGAAACAATTGACAGTTTTTAAGTTTAAAATATTTACTCTTAATGTTATAATATCATGCGACCTGAACTTAGGAATTCGTTGCCTGGTGAAGTACAGCTATGTTTCTTGTGGCTCGCCCACGCAAACTGTGCAATAAATCCATGTCTATACATTCTGTTAAAATTATGTAGTAGTAGCAGGCTTTGTACAAGTCTTCTAAATCGGAAAACGTTCTAGTCCTTAATCTTTCAGGAAGAGCATTGCATTGGCTAAAACATGAGAAGGAACTTAGTCCATAGTTAGTGAATCATTCTACACTTATTAAGAGAAAACACACGTGGTTGCCACACAAATGCAGTTTACATATTTCTCATATGCGTAGGAAACCAACTGAAGAATATTAAGTTTTGTAAACTAATACTGAAAACCTCACTAAATAGCAGGGTCCTGTAGTAAGAGATTTAATAAACATGCAAACCTAAGGATAAGCTTGTTAAGTGCTGCCAGCTTTCCACAGTAACGCATGCCACAAAAATGCCCTACTGAAGAGCAATAATAAAAGTGCAGCAGAATAAAGGCCTTGTACAACTTAAGAGAGATTATCTCTACAAATAACGTCGCGAAAGGGTAACTCGCTCTTCACCAACACAGAAAACTGGTAGTCAGGGTGACCAATAACTAGAGCCTGATGTTTCTTCGCGTTTGCAATCGTGCCATTCTGTCTGTACTCCAGAAATTCTTAGTAAGAAAGTTTCTGTTTGTGCAAGTGATCTTGAACACCTGAAGAAATACTAGCTTTCTGTATACGAATTTATTGTTGTGAGAGAAAAGCGTTTGACTTGAATTGATGTATGGGAGCAGTAAAAATCATAACGAAAACATTCCTTTCTTCTTCGTGTGCAAAAAGTTGATAGGTAAACAAACCTAAAACCATGAAAATGAAATTTGACACATGATCGGTGTAGCCATTATGAAGTCATACTTATTAATCCTTTAGCATTTAAGAGTGACCAGTATCTAATTTCTCCTTAACATATCCCTCCTGAATCAAACATAATAGTTATGAGAATAGAGGAGATGATCACCGACTAACTAAAGCAGCTCTTGACTGTTACACAAAGTCTCCTTGTCAGCCTCTTTGGAAATGTATGGAGAACAGTATGGAGAATATGCATACTGATACTAGGAGGTGAACGGTTAACATTGTCGCACAAACCACCATTATTGACACCTCAATATCGTCCATCGTGAAGTGAGATGAATGGACAGCTCTTCCTTGATTAAACGGTTCATGTTTCGGCTTATGATCTGGCACAGCTGCATACAGAGTGTCTTCCTGTCTACGAATTTATTGCTATAAAAAAGGGATATCATTAAACTAAAGTGATCACGATGAGCAGCAAAAATTACATGTTAATACGTTACAAGTCGATAATGCCGAAAATAAGATTTGACTTCAGTGAAATGAGGCTCACAATTTACCGAATAAAAAATAACTGTGGCACATTTTTGTATCCTTAATATTTGAATAATGTTATTCAGACGTGAAATGAATGGGCAACACTTCGTTTATGTTTGAGCTAATTATAATGCTGTGGCACAGCCGTATGCAAACTGGTTTTTCGAATATAAAGTTTTTGCATGAATGGCATTCGATCTGAACTGAACTACTTAACCAGCAAAAATATCATTTATGTATTAGGTATTCCTTTCGATAATACAAAGAATTCAAGGATAGACAAACGCTAGATCTTCAAGGTCTAATGTTTTTGTTGATGATGATTTTTGTTAATGTTGAAATGTGACATACAATGTGCGTAGTGAACGACAACTTTGTTAATATTGTCGAGCAAAATACCGCTGTTGCGTCCACCATGACTGACTGCTTAAAATCGGGCTTTCTGTATTCTAGTTCATCGCTGTGAAAGAAGGTGTTCGATCTAAACTAAAGTGAGGGAGCAGCAAAAGTCATATTTGTGGTATTCATCTCTTTATGGTACGTAAAACGTCTACAATTTGATCAAACTAGATCCACTTTCAGTGTAATGTGACACACAATGTGCCAGGTAAGAGGCACATTATCGCACATAGCGGCGCGTTATAAATGGACAACTCCTTCCCAATAAGAACATTTCATATCCGTCTGGGCTAATGATCTGGTACAGCTTTTTACGGACAGGTTTCCCATATACGAATTCATTTCTGCAAAAAGGTGTTTGATCTAGATTGAAGTGAGTGAGAAGCAAAGATCATATTTCAGATATTCATTTCTTCTTGATAGTTTAAAATTTTGGAACATGGAAAAGCTAAGATTCATTTTCAAAGAAATGTAGCTTATAATCTACCGATTAAAAGACATGTTATTCAAGAAATTTGTAATTAATAGTTTACAGGCGAATACTGCCCTACAGTCTGAGAGGCAGAAAATAAAAAAATTCTCAAACGCAATAACTGGATTTTCCATGCCGCTTTCTAATGAACAAAGATTCTGATGCGTCATAACCAACATCTAAGTGTTAGTCATTCAGACTCTGTCTGCCAGGATTACAACAATTAAAACACTTTTCAAATTTTTATTTTCAGTAAATTGTGAAAGACACATCCCTTGAAGCGCTCATAATAACACGGACATTTGAAATCTACTGAGAAAAGATTTGGATTTTCATTTGAACAAGATTTACTGAGAAGGTAAGAAAGAGGAAGTTTCTATGAAATCGAAATAGAGATACAGCACTTGGCAAAGTTTATATCAAATTTTATGAAAAATGGAAATCAAAGTGCTGTCTTTAAAGCAAAATAAGCTCTTTGAAATATTTATTATATTTCCAGGTTGCATCGTGTCGTTTGTGACAACTATGTGTCGTAAACAAGTTCTCCCAAGGTGGTAACTTTGCAGACACAAAAAGATGATTCCTGTTTGCCCTGAAAGACACTGAAAGACCTGAACCAGCTAGGATCTGCAGCGTTGTCCCTTTCATCACTTTCACCAACTTTTGAGAGTGTGTTTTCGTTCTCACAGAAATACTCATTTGCACTGTTACATCTTGCTGTTCATAGCTTCCACAGCCTTCCACTTGTGTCACTCCTGTTATAATTATGGTTTATGTTGCTCTTTTATCCTCTAGCTTACAAGCAGTAGAAACTTCTCCATCAAAATGAACAACAGCTCCAGTGCATCAATGCCCAATGGTAAGGCGGACATTGTGATTATGTTCCTCCACGTCGTTGGTTTAGCTCCTGTAGCTTTTATAGCCAAACTTGTCAGCAAGTAAAACACCCGCACTCAAAGCACCCGTTTAACATCGTCGCTTAAATCGCTACGTAGGTTAGATTTTCACATTCATCGAGAAAATTTGTTTTCATCAGCCGGGGTCAGCAGTTATCACCAGCTTGTCATGCACAAAGTCCATGAGCCATGGGAAAACTCAGTCCACTGTTTTTGCAGACGATCAACACTAACTGAACATAAAGTAGAGAGGTGATTTAAGGATGGGATTTCTCAAAAAGTGGATTCCTTTGCTAAGCTAATCCTGCACTACCTACACCCACTGAAAACCTTTACCGAAGAAATTCTGATAATTTAAAAAAGGGTTGGGAAAGTTCGAAAACGGCTTTTTGCTTTCTCTTCCCGCTAGTAGCATTAACTTTTAATATTTAGGCAATTTTCGTTTCCTTCTGCAGCACCAACAGCCCTATTCAAAATTGGAATAACATGTGCATATGCGGTTATATTTACCATCGCTTTGCTTGGCAATTCAATCGGGTTGTTGGTAGTCTTAAAGAGGTCTCACTCTACCAGCGCCATGAACTTGTTCATTGCTAACATGGCCATCGCAGATTTGATGTTGACGTGTACAATGATGCCGGTTCAAGAGAATTTCATTCATGGGGATGTTTCTTGGATTCCGGGAATATTGGGAAACGTTACATGCAAGTTGGTGTTCAACATTATCCCAGTTTCCATAGCGGCAACTGTGTTTACAATGATGTTCATCTCCTTCAATCGATTTTACTCCATATTCTATCCACTAAAACAGAACGTCTATCGCAAGCCAAAAATACTATGCACAATAATTTGGATACTATCTTTAGTGCTGATGGTCCCATATCTTTTGTTGCACCAAACAGAGTATGTACCTCAATTGAACAAGCATTTTTGTTTGCAAGTGTGGCCATGGCAAGACAAAAACGATATTACATATGCTGAAACCTATCGCGTACTTAAGATCTTTCACATCACGATTTTCGTTGTACTGTACACATGGCCTCGATAACCATTGTAGTCTACACCATAATTTGTCGTAAATTGTGGCTCCGAAAGATCCCGGGAAATGTGACGACTGCCAATCTTGCCGCGGCTCAAAAATCCAAACGCAAAGTTGTGCGGTTATTAGTTGTAATCGTCTTGGTCTTTGCAATCTGCTGGTTCCCAAGTTATGTCGATCATTACATTTGGTTCGTGCGACCTGAACTTAGTAATTCGTTGCCTGGTGAAGTACAGCTATGCTTCTTGTGGCTAGGGCACGCAAACAGCGCAATAAATCCATGTCTATACATCCTGTTAAATAGCAAGTTTCGTGAAGAACTCGTCACTATAATAACTTGTTGTCCTCGTTAATAGTTTCTGTAGGTTTTACCTATTATTACCGTGACATAAACAACTCACATGGTGGAACCATGTGGGATGCGATTTCGTTTGGCACGCGTGACGGCAACATTTCATCAGAGAACTCATTACATATTCCGATCGATTGTTGCAGCTGCTTTAATGGTTAGTTAAGATCGCGGAAAGAGTGAAGTGAACAAACCAGTCTGGCGAAGGGAGTTGGGAAGAAATATAAGACGCCGTATTTTGCTTGCCCTACCCCTTTTTCCTCCAGTAGTGTGCTATATTCTCACTTCTGTCTCCCTGGTGTATTATACTATTGCAAAGGTTACTTACACTTAAAGTGCTCACACGTATTCAAACTGATAGTGTTCCTTCCTTGACGGCTCACGGAACATTAGTGAAAGCGGAAACGAGCGAGCGAGCAGTCTCGCTTTTCATCAATACAATCTATTGAAATGATCACCTACTCATAATGTCTTTAATTGTGAAATGATGTCGCCAGTTTTTTCTTTTTAAGTCAGTTAATGTCTGGCTTGATTCATTCTTTAACCATTTCATGAACTTTGACAATTGATGAAAGGGTAACGAAATGTAAAGTTAATTTAAATAAAAACTCCCTTTAAATAACATTCAATCTGCATATGTAATTATACTACTTCGATTTTCTGATACATACAAGACCGCGGCCATTCATGAAGCGTTCTTCAATTATTTAGTTTCGAAAGTAATCCTGGATTTGTTTGGATTTACTTTACTTCGATTTTGTGATTGGTCCACAAAACTCGCGTCACTTTCTCAACCAATTGATGCAAAGCTACAACCAATTGCGATCTTGGAACTCGTGTCTTCCTGTGCTTCAAGCAGTTTGGCTGTTTTTACTTCAAGCTCCCATTGTCTAATGCTGATGATGTTAACTTTTGTCATAATTTACCGTTGATCACTTTGACTTTGGTTGTTCTGTCGAAGAATGCTCTAAATAGATCCTTAGCCCTTTCACTCCCAAGATCTCATAAGCAATTCTCCTTACTGTCTCCCATACAATTCTTGTGATGTTAGTTGCGAGAATTTGGGTTTGGATCAACTGATAATCCCCTAATTAATATTTTTCCTTATTCTTCTCTTGTCTTCTTGATAATGCATTGATATTGTAAGGAGAAATTCTGTCTTGGTCAGTAATGGGAGTTAAAGGATTAAGGCATTTATATTAGAGAGGGAGGGAGGCGTGATTAGTGCCAAAACTAATATGTGATGCTTGAATCTACAGAAAGGCGAGCGTGATTCGTGAATTTATGAACCAATGTAAGGCGTGATTTGACCTCCTGAAATTTACGTAACCCGTGACTCTTGAATTCATTTCGTGAAAACCTCAAGATTTTCCAGAAACCCTCTGAACAAGAAGAGAGAGTTGAATTTTCCCTTCTATATGCGTAACGCGTAAATTTTTCTTGCATTCGTGCATGGAACGTGATCAGGAACCCCCTCCCCCTCCCCTCTTCTCCCTCTTTTACTATCCTTTTAATACTTGCCCCAGGTCACCTGTAAATTTTAATCACTCGCCCACTTCATCTGTTCCCACTGAACTTTGAGGAGATGATTGCTACCTAGACTACAAATACAAGAGGGTGATAATCTTTCAAGCTTTCGGTCTGGTTGAAGTATTCCCAAACTTTAGGTAGGACCTAGTGTACAATTTTTTGGGATCAATTAATTTGGTTTTAAACATCATCCTAAATTAAGATCCAAACTTAAATTTACAAAATATTCATGAATTTTGGTTCTTACTATCAGCCCACGGGAAGAAATGTCCAGAATTAGAAGATCATTCATAAAGAGCATCTTATCATACCACTGAGTTCATTTCATATCGATGATAGTATCATTTATCCCCGACGGAATCTATAAATAAATCATGGAACTACCATTGTTCTGTATACGCAACTAGTTCAAAATTCATCAGTAGTGTGCGCAAATGGCTTGTAAGGATGCAATATAATCTGTGGAACATCACATGGAGTAAATCTGTCCATATTTTATGGATGATCCAATGAAATAGGTCATTTCTTGATTTTTGTTGAGACAGCTGTGTCGCTCACTATATTCGCATAGTCGTCACATGCTGCGAACGTCCTTGAGAGTTGACGATCTTGCCTCGTCCTAAAATTGCCCCATTCAAAATTCTTAACAAGATTTTTGGTCAAAGGTAAGTGTAGTTTTCGATTCTCATTAAAAATATAGGGATACTCTCTCGTAACTTCAGGGCCTTTCGAACAAAATCATAACAGCGTCAAGCTTCCTTTGTTTCACAATTACCAGTGGGTGTTGAGGCAAAGAAAGGCAAAATCGAGTTGTTTTGTCCCTTGATCCTTCAAATACTGAGCTGATCATGATAATAATGGTGTGGGAAAAATAATTCGAAATACCGACTTGAGATGATTTATTTCCTAATTTTCCTTTTTTTTTTCTTTTTTTTTTCCGCAAAATCAACAAATACCCAAGAAAGAGATTTTTGATGGCGTCTCAACTTGACATCCATTAGCTGATCAAACTCAAAGTACGATGATTTTATGACAACAGATTTCGTGGCAAAAAATTTCACTTCTCTCATATAAATTGTCGAGCAGCTGTTTTAAAACGACAAACAGCTAAAAATTGAGCGACCACGGCGATTATAGGAACACTAACCACAAGTCAAATTAACATAATCAAAAGCCTAAAAGGATCGTAGATCCTAGGCCCCTGCCTGTGTCCTCTACCTGCACAGCAGAAGGTCAGCAGGGGGTTATTTTTCCTGCTCATAGCTCGCCAGCGGGAAATTTGGTATTCTTAAACAACCTGATATCGCTTCTTCCTTCAACCGAAAGATATAAACAAAGTATCAATCAAGCAAGGCAACTGATGTACCTTTTTTTCTCCTGTGGTGGCTGTTATTCAGGAGATCTTGTGTTTGTTTGGAAAAAGCTCGCTAACAGGAACTTGTCCCGCATTACCAAGCTAGCATCAATCTTTGACCGTTGTGAACAACAAATCAGTCGAAGTACGTAGTAGCTTGTTTCTCGATCGCAAATACTTTTACTATGGGGCTTGACTCAAAAAATCCAGAAAGACAAGAGGACAAGTACATTTGAATGACTCCTCTCTTCATTTAAATATAGGATCATTAAACTGGTTTAAAAGAAATGTAAGATTTGAAGCTTTGTTGACTGAAGTGGCGTTCAAAGAAAACAATACTTCACGTGCATTCAATTTGAGTTAGTTTGGGGATAATCTTTCAGACTAAACAAGGTGGGAGATCAAATCCGTTCATCATAAGCCGTCATTAAGATTGGATTGCTGTTTGTCAGCACAGTAACGGTAATTAATGACTGAACGCTATGAAAATGAAATCATTTTCTTGGCAAACGAAGCATTATCCAAGTTCCTATCTACTATGTACAGAGGAATAAACTGATCCATTTCTTTAGAAAAAAAAATCTCGCGGACTAATAGCAGCTCAGAAAAATGGTTTCTCTGTTGAGCAGATTTAATCAAATGAAGTTTTCATTCAACTGGAACTGCTTACGTAAAAAGACGCCATCAAGTTTGCATAAATCATTCTTTAATAACAAAGTGACCCATACTGTCACGTCTATCAATAAGACCATGAGTTCGCTTGTGTAAATTGTCGAAAATAACCTTTTTATCCTCCTAATCTGAATTATGCAGGACTACGCCAACCCAGAGATGCCAAGCTATTTCGGTATGGCGAATGACACACATCCAACGAATGCAAATGGTAACGCTCTGATTTAAAAAAAAATTATATCATAGTTTTATGTCCGTCGATCTTACGTCAAGATATTTGTACTATTATTTGCATGCTCGATTTGCATTTTTCATTTATCCGTTGATATAATTGTATACATCTAGTCGAAAATAGAGCTAAATAACAGTTCATAAGTTTGATAGATTTAGCCTGAATTTAAAACTTTCTGTAAACCCTCTACATCCTTAGCCATCTCGTAGTTATCAGTTCTTCATATGTAGTGTTTATTTTCAATCTAAAACCTATCTTTTCGAAGCTGAGAATGTTGATCATGACGTATATTCTTTTACATCTGTTACCTTAATCGTAATTGCTATGGTTATGATTATCATTATCATTACCCTTAGCATCACCGTCATCATCGTCAACATCTGCCATGTCACTCTCAGCTGATAACCTACGCCCAGAGTGCAAATATTACTTGCTTATATGTGACACCCATTGTTTCCTCCTATTCTTCAGAAACAAAAGTCCTTCCTGACCAGAACTCAGTTACCACAAAGCTGCTATATCCCACTGGCCTGAAAATTGGCATGACCCTTGCATACGCTGTGATTTTTGTCTTCGCATTACTCGGCAACTCCTTCGGGTTGTTTGTGGTACTCAAGAAATCATCGCCCGTCGGCAGAATCACGAGCCTATTCATCGCTAATATGGCCGCGGCAGATCTCTTGCTAACATGTACGGTGATGCCATATCAGGTTGCTTTTTTTTACAGAGGAGGAACGTGGTTCGGAGGAGCATTTGGTACCGCAACTTGTAAACTTTTTTCCTACGTTGTCACTGTTTCCATAGCAGCAACGGTCTTAACAATGTTAGTTATCTCGATTGATAGATTCCATGCAATATTCTATCCACTAAAAAGAAGATTATTTCGAAAACCAAAGATCTTATCGACCATAGTTTGGTTGTTATCACTTATATTGATGATTCCATACCCTCTTTATTCTGTTGTCGAATTAAACACAGGACAAAACGCATACAAGTGTTCCCAGCTTTCATCAAAAACAGACCAAGACGTTATTAAGATCTTCCATGTTTGTCTTTTTACTACCCTTTATGCATTACCTCTTTTCTTTTTGGTTTTGCTTCATCTTTTGATCTGCCGAAAGTTGTGGCTTCGCAAAATCCCAGGAAACGTGTCGCGTGACAGTCGAACTGCTGCTGACAGATCTAAACGCAAGATTGCGCGGTTGTTAATCATAATTGTCGTACTGTTTGCGCTCTGTTGGTTTCCAACGTATGTCAATCACTACTTTTGGTTCATCCGCCAAGAATCCAAGCTACCTATTGGGTTCGAGTTCTTTTTCTTGTGGTTAGCGCACGCAAACAGCGCCATAAATCCATGCCTTTACATAATGTTTAATGATCATCTTCGTTCTACACTGATTTCCACTCTAAAATCATGTTTTTGCCGAAGATGTCCCTGTTTTAAACAAGCTTATCGACCGATTGTTCGTCTGTACCAAGCGAAAAAGACAACCGTGGTATAACAAATATGGATTTAGTTCCGCTTATCGAACCCTCCTGTGATTAAGACGAATTTAATTCAGCCCAACTGTCATAAAGTACTGTGGTTTTAACAGCACTTAAAAAAAAATCGTTTGCCTTTGTAACTGCCCTATGGGAGGGGAATATCAAAACGGCCACTCAACATGGCTAAAAGTTGATCTACTAAAGCTGACATGAGCCAGTTTCTTAAGTAATACTGTTGAGAAAAATGATGATAATCAAAAACAATTTCGCGGTTTCTTGAGGGGACTCTTCGTTATATGCCCTACGAAGCTGGACAAGTTTTATGATAATGATGTACGTACGTGTATTAGCTTTCTTGTAAACACTAGATGTTAGAATTGCTTAGCTCAAACTTAATAAACGAAGAGATGTCTTGATTTTCGTTTGATTCTTTTTGTCAAATGTTATCTCTTCAATTTGTCCGAGATACCTATGATTACCTGAATTTGTATTGAAATTAGCCTGTGCTTTTGCTAGTTTGCCTTAAAAAAATTATCGGATATTTTATTCCTGAATTAACCTCGCCTTAATTATCGGACACGAGGGGAGAAGGAAGATTGTATCGACTGTAAAATCTGGTGGGAAAAGAGATGCGGAGGAAAACTTCTTAATTATTCAGTCATTGAAACAAGTTAGGCCTGCGGAGTTACGGATCATGAATGCCAATGCATAGTTGCATACACAGGAGAAATGTGTAGTACATTACAGTTTAATAAAAAATGCCCATGATTTCCACACATGTATCAGGTTTTGACATCAATGTATAACTATCATAGCAGACCACTCCTTCTTCCACTTTCTGACCAGACTCGTTAAACACTTAGCTAAATACTTCCTATCGATGGATTTACACCTTAGTTTCTTGGTACAGTCCACGCGGACGGTTTTGACAGGCACTAGCGACAGGTTCCATAAAAAAGCTCTGTCTTCACGTTGTCTTGCGGGTTGCTTGTTTGTTCGAAATTCTGTTGGTATAGACTTCTGTGGAGAGGGGTGATTTGCACATGCACTTATTGCATGGAAGGGTGACCTGAGCAGTGCAATAGATACGTTAAGGCATGCACAACGAAATCTTCTGTTAAAAGCCATGTACAATAAAGGGTTTATAGCACTGTTTGAATGTGACACCCAAAACAACAAGTAACCTGTTCATTTGGGAATTTTGGCCTGTTTTGAAAGGAAAAAGTAATGCATCACGTGTGCGGGTAACCAACACAACGTGAATGCCAAGACAATGATCATTAACATTTTGACAACGCTCCGCCTCCGTAGTTCACTTGCCGTCCTGGAGTTGGTTCCTCGCGCATTGTGAAACCACAAGCGTCGAGCAGTGATGATGTTCAGGAAAGATATTCCTAGGAGGGGGAGGACATAAAACAGGACGAACAAGATGATGTAGAATATCTTCAAGACTGGCAATACCTCTTGAGGGTCGTCTGTCCATGGCAAACGTGGCAGACAAAAATGGAACCCCCTATAGTGAACAACGTTGAAGAGGAGCAGATAAGGACTCATAGAAATCAAAGAAATGAGCCAGATTACTGCTGTTAACGTTTTACCGTTTCGGAGCAAGGTTTGACGCAGTGGACAATAGATGGTGCAAAATCTTTCAAGAGAAATAACCACCATTGTTATTATGGATGCAGCAATAGAAACGGGTAAGGCGTAGAAAATTGCTTTGCACGTGACTGTGCCAGCAGGACCTCCAAACCATTGGTTTGGCTTGAAAAACAAGTGCAGTACTGAGTATGGCATGATAGTCAATGTCACTAACAAGTCAGCGATTGCCAGGTTCTTGATCAAAAGATTGGTTAATTTTCTAGTAACTGCTTTGACGAAGACCACGTACAATCCGATGGAGTTTCCAAATAGCGCCACTATAAAGATTACAACGTAAAACGAAATTACCAGGATCATCTGAGAGTTTGACAAAAGCTGTTCACCAACGGATGGCGCATCATCGGTGGAATTCATCCCTTGAAAAATGAAATGCAAAAAATTTCATCGATCATTTTAGGAGCGTCACTTTCGAGTCATTTTCAACTTTTTTGTGATTTGAGGATTATATGAATATATCGAAAAATAACAAAACTCTTTGGACCATCGTTGTAAGCTCGTCAAGAATTTCTTTTGTGAGCAATTAAGAGAAATTTATAGCTGCAACTCAAGCTTTCAGAAATGCCAGGGCCATGAATTTTATAAGGCCTTCTTCATTGAGTCGGTAAAATATAGAAGTAAAAAGCCTTCGCCGGATGTTTTGGCGTGACTCAATTGTATTACTTATCCTATTTTACCGGCGTTGATATCGTGCCTCTGGTTTCCATAGATATTTGAGAGGTCAAACATGATGTTACTCGAAACGTCAACAGTACAAATTAATCACAAACTGCCCATTTTCAGCCGTCTGTACACTAAAATGATGAATTGCACTGGCTATGAATAAGAGAAATTGCATGTGCTAAAAAATTGCAGGCAAATTTAGGCTTAAAATAAAAAGTATCGGTGCCTTTTGATAGTCGAAAAAACACCCGAGTTTCTTTCGCCACTAACAGCTGTTTTGGGAAATGTTCTCCCACGGAACGGTGGGAAGCGTACACAACGGTTCCTTAAGATCATATACGAAAAGGTTCATGTTAAAGCTTGATTGACTTTAGGATTGACTTGGCTTTGTCGTATTCCGTAATCAAAGAGTATTCGAGCGGTATTTCTTACTATTTCTTTCCAACAAAAGGTTCTTTTCTTCAATTTTGTATCTAAGAACAGAGGCGTAGATATAATTCCTGTATGCGACAGGAATATTGTTCTATTTCAATGAGATACTTATTTTTTTCTAAATATAATTATTTTCATTCCTTATATTTGAATACTGCCAGAGATATGCTAAATCTTCCTAACAAAACAACTCAGTCTTAAGCTCAACCCCGGTAATTTCCTCAAGCGCGATTTATTATTGAGTTCTATAACAATTCTCACTCAAAGCCTTTCTAAATTTGGTTCTTTTAAATTGAGTGTAAATATTTGGTTATCTCTTTTGGTGCTATCACATGTAATTGAACTTTGATGGATTTTATAATGAAAATAAATTACCCATATAAATAGAAACTGAAGACACGAGGGGACGTCAATTGGCAATGGCCAGCGTGCCATTACAATACTTGAAAAAAAAAGTAAGTAAAGTTGATCAGAGCATTGATTCAGTGTAATACACTCAGGTAAGATATAGACAAATCTCACCTCTCTTGGTATTTTCCTAAGTAAACTCTATGCGGCGCTGTCGAAGCAAAAGTTATCACGTTGAATCATGGGACATAAATGATAAAACATCGTTTTTTGTTTAAATAAAGTGATTATTGTATCAGCAGACACGTTTCTTTGCGCTGGTGTTGTAAATGAATGTCTAACGAACCGTTTGAACTGAGGTTATTTACGGTCAGGATCTACGCCATCATATTCTTTGCCAAAGTGGTATGGAGCCTGTACCAAGGACCGCCAGTGAAGTTGGAGGCAAATTTAAGTAGAGTGAGCTGAGTTTTTATGAGTGTGTAAAAAAACTAGCGACACAGGTGTTTGCAGCAAGACACAATGTAATCATTTTACCGAAGAAATATTAGCATTTTAGTACTTCCCCTTCCGAAATTCTCACCAGTTTTAAGAAAATAACCATGGTCGAATATTACTGGCAATTGGTTGTTTTCTTTCATAGTTTATAGATATATTTTATAATTGCTGTGAAAAACAGTCAGAGCCCCGGCTGAATGACGCTCCACCTGATCAGCTCAGCTGCGGTTTTTCAACTTCTTATGCAAGAATATTTAATTTGACACTAAAGCTCCTGATGTTTTAATAATCGTCAGCTATTTCGTTAGCATTTGGCGGGGGCAGAGGCGGGGGCGGAGGCGCAAATATAGGGGTTGGGGGTGAGAAGTTAAGAGGCGTGACCGTTACCTCCCCTACCCTTCCCCAATATGGAGTAAATTTTTCAATTCGTGCTTTGCAAACTAGCGAAAAATAATCTCCCAACGGTATGTATTATCAAGGGACTTGGAGTGAGTATTCTAAGAGAGCATCCTCAAGTTTGTTTCAGTGCCGCACACTTTTTCGCCTATTTCATATTTTTAAAAAGGGAGAAGAAAAAGAAATATAAAATAATATTTATTCATTAACTTGAATTTTTGTCGATTCGTACAGTTTTTCGGGCTTGATCGTATTTTTCGAAGATCGCTGTTTTTATTTTTCGATGAATTATTCATGTTTACATTTTTTTTCTCTATTTTAACAACAACAAATCTTTTTTTATGATGCAAAGAAAGGAGAAAACGGAGGAGGGCATGCCCTGTTAGTCAACCTACACTTTTCCATATATCCAAGCAAAAAGATGCAAATATTAGAAAGGAGAACTGGCTATGGATAAGAGACCTTACGTTTGCTAAAAAAATGCAGGAAAATTTAATCAACGTAAAAGTGGCCCTTGCGTTTTTGATGGTCGAACAAACACCCGAGTCCTTTTGCCACTAACAGCTGTTTTGGGAGATGCACCTCCACGGAACGGTGGAAAGCGTACACAAGGGTTCCTTAAGATCATGTACGAAAAGGTTTATGTTAAAGCTTGATTGACTTGAATATTGAATCGGCCTTGTCGTATTCCATATTCGAAGAGTATTTCTAGCATTATTTCTTACTATTTCTTTTCAGCCAAAGGTTCGTCCCTTCAATTTTGTATCTACGAATGGGGATACAGATAAAATTCCTGTATACGACAGGAATACCGTTCTATTATCTCCTCTAATGTAATTATTTTCATTCGTTATATTTAAATACTTCCAGAGATATGCTAAATCTTCCCAACAAAACAACTCAGTCTTTAGCTCAACCCCGGTAATTTCCTCAAGCGCGATTTATTATTGAGTTCTATAACAATTCTCACTCAAAGCTTATACACTCTTCAAAATTTCGTTCTTTTAAAATGAGTGTAAATATTTGTTTATCAATTTTCGGTGCTATCGCATGTAATTGAACTTTGATGGGTTTTATAATGAAAATAAATTTCCCGTATAGACAGAAACTGAAGACGCCACGCTAAGTCAATTGGCAAAGACCAGCATGCAATTACGACACTTGGAAAAAAGAAGTAAACGGAGTTGCTCAGATCATCAATTCGGTGTAATACGCTTAAGTAAGATAAAGTCAAATCTCACCTCTCTTGACGTTTTTCTAAGTAGACTCAACGCGCCGCTGTCAAAACAAACTTATCAAATTGAACCGGGGGACATAAACGATAAAATATTCTTTACCAACGTGGTATGGAGCCTGCACTAAAGAACACTATTGAATCTGTGAGGCAAATTTAAGTCGCGTGAGTTGAGTTTTCATGAATATTTTAAAAACATAGTGAGACAGGTGTTTGCAGCAAAACACAATGTAAACAGTTTACCGAAGAAATATAAGCATTTTAGTTACTTCCCCTTCCGAAATTCTCACCATTTACAAGAAAATAATTAAGGTCCAATGTTATCAACAATTGGTTGTTTTCTTAGTTTAGTCAATGTCAGTTTTCTAGTTTATCGTTTATGTATATAATTGCTGTGAAAAACAGTCAAGGCCTCGGCTGAATGACGCCCCACCTGATAAGCTCAGCTGCGTTTTTTCAACTTCTAATGCAAGAAAATACAGGTATCATATTTTTAACTGGACGTCAAAGCTCCTGGTGTAATAATAATCGAACGGTAAGTGGTTAGCATTTGGTGGGGGCGGGGACGCAACTAGGGGGGGTTTGGGGTGAGCATTTACGAGGGTGTCGTTACCCCCCGCCCTTCCCCGGTGTGAAATGTTCAATTCGTGCTTTGAAAATTAGCGAAATATTCATACCAATAATTTATATTGGTATGAGTATTTGAGGATCGCTTTTTTATTTCTTGATGAATTATTCATTTTCATTTTTTCTTCCATTTTAACAACAACAAACGTTTTTTTATGATTGCAAAGGAAGGAGAAAATTAATGGAGGGAACGGATGTTCTGTTACCTAACTTACACCATGTATCTTAACAAAACGATACAAATATCAGAAAGGAGAAAAGGAATCATACCTTAAAGGGTCCTTAAACAAAATATAAATAAATAGTTCCAGGTCCAGATAGTAACTATTACTGAGAAAAGTTATCCATGAAAAGTGCTCCTTTTAATAGTTTTAAAGTAGGCTTCTTCCATGTAGATATAGGAATATAAGTTCAATAGAAGTTATAACATAGCTAGTAAATTCATCCAATCAAATTCAATTCCGTGAGCGTGCTTCATATTCCTATTGTACACGCTCATGACGTCAGCAAGCAAATCCCTCAAGAAAAAAAAATTTTCTCCGCGATTTTTTACTTTGGGATTTTACTATTAAAAGACTAGTTAAGACTTCGGCGGCAATTTAAGCTAAACATGGAAAGTTGTGTGCCAGCTTATGAAGAAGAACTGCTTACTTTTTCTTCGGAATGGAGTTTTTAATTCCCCAAAAAGAACGGAAAGAAAAATAAAGGTGCTATGCATCTTTGTTTTTCTTTTGGATAAGAGAATTTTGTATTCAATCAGAAAATAAAGTTCATTTACACGCATGAATTCACCTGTAAGTTTTTTGACCAATCTAAGACAAGATAGTTTACAGCGTAGCGAAATGTTTTCCTGAAACAAAATTATCAACACGCCGAAGCGTAGCAGAGCGAATATTAACCCTTTTACAACATTTAAACCATCGGGTTGAAAATGTTATAAAACATTTGGTTCATACGTCAGGTGTGCGTTCATCGAGATATGAAGCACGCGGGAAGTTTGGAGAGCACTCAAGAAGCTAGAGTTACTCTTACGCATCTTTCCTGCTCTCCAAACTTTCCGCGTGCTTCATATCTCGATGAACGCACGCTGACGTATGAATCATTTGTTAATCGGACAGAATTTCCTAACATTTAATCCGAAGGGACTGGGATTCAGGTGCTTCAAAGATGTATTTCGAGTGGCATAATCTTGAATAGTTCTCAGATACAAAAGACAATGCACAATAAGACAGGTTTTTTTAATGTACAATATGATCACAAAACAGTTGACACGTACTTAAGTTTATTATATCATGAGGCTTAATCAGACCAAGGTTTACATAATGAGGAGTGATATTTTTTATTTCCTTTTTGTTATCTCCTTAGTTTCTTTACTTCTCTCTAGCAGTTACTGCCACTGGGATTTCTCCTTGCTTTCGTGGCAGCACTTGGTACCCTTTTTGTAACTGAGTATCTGTTGGGGACCATCTGTACCCATAAATTAGTAGGAGATCATCGTGATACCTTAAGTTGGCAAAAACGCGCCAATTCAAAGAATCTTCGAGGTATAATTACTTCTCGGTGTGAAATTCGTAACTATGATATCCCCCTCCCACACACTCACCCTCCCCTCTTCCCCCTATGGCAATTCCATTACCTGAAAGCTGGAAATTTAAGAGCTCGGTTAATTGTTTACCTACGAAATAAAGGAGAAAATTCAAATGCAGCAACTAACGACCCCACGTGCATCGATTTGAGACACTTCAAATGTCAGCTATAGGCAAGAAAACGAAAGTTTTGTCAAAGTAAATCGTAACTTAAACGCCATCATTCTGCAGCCGAAGTACATTGAACACAAGGGCATCTTCGCTTTCACATCAATGAATACTAGTTCGTATAAACCCCCTAACATTGGAGAAATTGTCATTTTTAATTTCATCAGTGTTACCTAACTAGACTTAACTAACTCCGGAAAATTTGGAATAATCTTCTAGTTGGTTGGGGAAATCAGGACGTAAAACAGAAAAAGCCTTAATCAACTAGACACAATCGTTATATATATGTCAATCAATGAGAAATTATAATGGTCCTTTTTTTGATTCATCTTAAAATATAAATTGCCTGTTCATGTGAAGATTTTCGCCACTAGTTTATCCATATAACCTCAAACATTACATTGATACCGATACAACTAACTGATGAACAATCACGAAATTTATTTTAACGGAAACACTTGATCAAGTTTTGGCACTTTCCTCGTCATGAAAATTGTATGATCATCAGATTTTCCACGTTTCAAAATTGATTTTCAAGTCAAGTGCAAGCAATTGAAATAACTTTTAGAACAGTTAACTCAGCTAAATTTTTGCTCTCTAAAGCCTGCGCCGTACACAGAGATTTAAAGCTTAGTGTCATAGTTCACCTTTTCATTATCTTGTGCACGTTCTGAAGAAGGTGCAACGCGAAACGAGTGCGCTTTCTGCCGGAGTACCACAAGACGCTCACTTGTTTGCAGTTCCGGCACGGATTGCTCTCCAGAGATGTACCCTACACATGCACTGACTGCGTGTACAGGACACATGACCATTGCAACATAGGCATCCATAAATGCCAAACGAAAAGCTCTGTTGAAGGCGATGTATAACAAAGGATTTATCGCACTGTTTGCATGCGACACCCAATAAAGCAAATTCGCTGTCAACGCGGTAATTTGGGCCTGTTCAAAAAACGCGAGGTAATGCATCACATGTGTAGGTAACCAACACAGCGCAAAGGTCAAGACAATTACGACTAACATTTTGACAACTTTCCGCCTTGAGAGTTCAACGGGTGTCCTTGGAGCACTAGAGATACTTCCTGGTATCCTGTGAAACCACAAACGGCGACCAATGATGCTGTTGAGTACGGTTATAATGGAGAGGGGGACGGGATAGAGCAAAAAAAATAACACAACGTAGAATGTCCGCACGGCCAAAAAACTGTCCATCGGGTTATCTGCCCAAGGCCAGTCTTGAACACAATAAGAGTACTCCCCTACGTTGAAAACTTTGAATAGTAACAAATATGGCGTCGTGGAAATCAAAGAAATGAGCCATATCGCCGCTGTCACTGTTTTATGCTTCTGGAAAACGGCCTGATTGAGTGGGAAATAGATGGCCCAAAATCTATCCAGAGAAATGACCACCATCGTTGTCACGGATGCAGCAATTGAAACAGGCATGACGTAGAAAAACGCTTTGCACGTGACTGTCCCAAAAGTTCCTCCAAACCATTGGTTTGGTTGAAGGAACATGAAAAGCACTGAGTATGGCATAATAGTCAATGTCATTAACAAGTCAGCGATTGCCAGGTTCTTGATCAAAAGATTATGTATTCTCTTAGAAGTTGTCTTCAAACAAACTACGTACAATCCAATAGAATTGCCAAATAGAGCTACTGTAAAGATCGCCACGTACAGAGTGATCAACACAACCTTCTCGGTGTCTGTGTAAAGCTGTATAACTGAGGCGGTATCGTTAGAAGAATTCATCCCTTTGTTTAAAGATAAAAATCATAACTGTTACTTCTGCTTAATTTTAAGAGCCAGGATTGAATCAGATAAGTTAGGAACTAAGTAACTTCCCCGCAAATGTTTAAGGCTTGCACGTGACACATTCTTAGCTTCCTCCTCCTATTCCATTTTTTTTGACCAACTTTTGTATTCTCCGCCTCATTACTTATTTCTTAGAAAACCTGCATTCCACCATGAAACAAACTTCTCATTTCGGGGCTTAACGAGCAGCTTAAATTTACCGAAACTTTAAAACACTAGGGAGCTTCAGATAACATGACAGCGACGCGTGGTAAAACGTCCCCTTTTTAAAAGATTGAACTTTTTTTACTCCTGGGAAATTTTCTCAGCAACTCGATGAATTAACCGTTTCTGATATTGTAAGATCCTCCCCTCCAGCATAGCATGTGGATGTTCAAAGCACAAACTTGACCTACTTTACGTACGTCGAGGTTCCCGTTCTTAAAGGAGACAAATTTTGGTGATATCACGTTTTCTTTTACGAAATGTTCAAAGTGTTATAATTGCGCCCGCTGAGCTATTGCTCTGGCTCTGGTTGTTCGACGGTCTGATAACGCTATCCACAGGATAAATCTCTATCCAATGGATAACGCTATACGCTTTGCTATCACTCATCCGCTGGATAGCGATTTATCCGTTGGGTAGCGTTATCAGCCCTTTATAAAACTGGGCCCTGGTTGCTAAATCTTTTGTTCCTCTACTTTCACGGTTCCGTCACCGACGTGGTTTCATAAAATTCCTGCTATTGCCTCACTTTCCTCTGATCCGTTTTCTATATCCTTCCTTCGCCCTACTCACAGCCCGAGATCTTTACTCAAAATATTTTTAAGTCGAGATCTATTCGTTTTGGTCATTCTCGGTTAACCCTAATCCTTGCAAGTGAAAAGCCAACATGTGTGAGGGTTTTTCTGATGCAGTCATAAATTTTCTTCAGTAACTTAGGAGAATCGTAAAATTTCAATGAAAACCATAATAGCAAATCAAAATGATACCCAAAGGATAAAAATGATGAGAAGGGATTTGAAAACACGATCAGCTTTAAATATAGGACAGTTTCCGAGGCTCTCTGCAAGTGACAAGTATGCAGAAAGGATGATTTTTTGTCAAATTTTGATCCTTACAGCCGATTCCTGATCTTCTCGCTTCTAATTTTTGGTCTTTTCCATGTAAATATTCGTTAACACTTGCTTAAATAGTCAGACTTTGCCTTCAAGCCATACATGGTTTTATGCGATTCCAATTCGACATTTACTGCTCTTACCTTAAGTTTATTCCAACGAACTGATATGTAGAAGTACTCGGTTATACCGAACGGGGATACCTAAATGGAGGCAATAGTACAATTTTAAGGATAATGTTCAAATATCCTGCGTTTGTAAAGTACTATACTGCTAAGGGTATTGACTGCCCTAGAACTTAGCGTGAGCCAGAAATCTCCCTATTAGTCACATCTGACCCTGGTATCTTTTTTAGCGTAATTGCTAGACATGAGCGGTGAGCCACTTGCTAGCCACAAGAGAAGCTTTAAAAATATTAAGGTTAGGTGGTTTTCGATTGAAATTAAGCAACACTAATGTTATTTACACCGGATGCATTTTCGTCGCAAAGGAAAAAATAAATACTTGCAGGTGTGAATTATTTAGGGAGAATTTACAATACCAGACTATTTGGTAACCCACAATGAGACAAGGCTGTAGGATGGCAAATAAGTAAGAATTGTTTTGAGAAAAGATAATCACTTCTTTAAAACCTCCTGCATTATCTACAAAATTTTCTAAAAAATTTTTCATTCCTATGTGATTTAAGGAATTAATTACCATCTGTAAAATAAATTTATCTTCTTGATTTAGGCAACTGAAACAGGTTTATCTGTTTTGGTAAAAGCATATTCACTATGGCCACTGAACGCTTTAAAAAGAGATTACTAGAGAAACCTTCACTAATTTCGCTTTTCACCATTAAACGCGCGATCCTGACCGATCGATGTCCCTCATTCTTACCTGTGTTGAAACGAAGTATCAGACACTTTCGAGCCTGGAATAACTTTCAGACTGGATTTTATATTCATGCCAGCTTAACTTATGACATCGTACGAGCAAGAGCTTCGCGTCAGAGACTTATGTTCTAAAATTTATTCGTCAAAGCTGGACACTGCTAGCCTGTAGTGATATTAATTAAAGTTAGCTGTCCGCTTAGGTGATGACATTGACAGTTCTTGGGAACTTCTAAATATTAAACTGGCGCCATTGTAATCATCCAATGTAATCAAAAGTGACAGACTCTTAGGAAAGAAAGCACAAAATGGCTCTTTAGACAAACATTTTTTACGCGATGTAGACAAATTTCTATGAAAATCGGAACTAATATATTAGTTTCAACCCCAGTAGAAAACAATGGGAAAAGTAGTGATAAGTGCATGCAGGCCGCGGATGATTATTAAGTCAGAATTTTCAAGTTTGAAGAAATCGACATTGCGCAATTTTCAGTGAAATAATGAAATAAAAAACCTCTTTGGTTATTACATTGAGATGTAATTCAGTTTTCGAAAATAATGTACCATAAAACTTCTCTTAATTTTTTTTCCATCAAGCTGATCAAATGATCGAGACCAAAAAAGAAAACCACTCCCTAAATAAAAAACCTTTAAAGCATTTAAAATTGTTTATTAGTCTTGGGAAAAAGGATTACGACTTCTTGACATAGTGTATCCGAGATACTTTGATGTGGTTTTCATCAGTTTGCAATGCATCCGACTCTATTGTTCAAATGAACTTAAGCCCCTAATAAAGTTACATTTTAGGTCACCATATTTATCACTTATTACTTTTGGCACACCCTGGCAGAGTAAATAAAACGATATTAAAAAACCTAGGGTACATCAGGAAGCGCTTTTTGGCCAATCCTTCGGAACTTACACTTCAGCTTGTCAGTCTAAAAGGAAATAAGAAATGTTGAGCAAAATGTGGATTAAGAGCAACCTCGGGTGATTTTGTTGTTGTTATTTTTTATTTTGTTTTTTGTTTTTGTTGTTGTCTTGTTTTTCTTGTTTTATGTTGTCCGTTTATTTTTTATTTGTTATTTTTCATTTTTTGTGTTTGTTTTTGTGTCTTTTTTGTTTTGTTTTTTTTTCTTTAAAAACACCTCAGTTGATTTCACAAACGGTCGATTTGTTTGACAAATGTACTAGTAAGGCGACGCCAAAACATTCCAAGAATTGCTACCCTCCGTCCAATATTACGCATCCAATATGGTTATTTTGCGGTTTCTAGATATTTAGCAGATTCATTTATTTTTACTCGATTGATTGAGCTAAGAGTGAGTCTCGAGTTCCTACCGATGAGTATCAGTTACAGAATAAAACAGTAGTTCCATGAAAATTCCTCTAGCAGTGAAGTATATGGTAAAATTTACCCATTTGACTCCACGTAGAGATTTCGATTTGTATCAATGTGATAAGCAAAATCAGGCTTAATTGGCTGAACAAATGCATTTTCTGAAATGACAAAAATGAGTTTGGGTTGGCCGTCAAGCCATAGAGAACACGAATGATGAGAAACAGTGATGCATTGTATTGATTGCTAGTTATTGTGCCTGAGGCAGTCTCGTTTTCTTGAAAATTTATGTTTACTCTGTTAATTAGTCGAACCTTGTTGCATTGTGACAAGAATTATAATAGAAAGAGTGGTTGCCCAACCACTGCATTTCAAGACTGAAACTAGCAAAATGCATATTTGGGTGTACATGGCGTTGATTTAATTCTAAATCAGCTCTAGTTTGGAAATCAGTTGCTCACTAAATGAAATTACTGATTTGTCAATTTTATTATTGTATTCCTAATAGTCAGGAATTGAATTTCTAGTGAATGCCTTATTTCGAGGCCTTCCCAGAATAAAAGAAGTCGTTTCCCAACGAAGAATGTCGACATTGACTCTTACCAAGAGAAATTACCAGAACTAAATTCAATAAAGAACATCACTTAAGAAAAAAGGAAGAAAATGAATTCAATAAAATTAATCAACTTCCTTACCAAAGTAAATGAAAGGCTTTTAAGAAATTGGCTGTTAAGTGTGTAGCAAGAGCGTGTTACAAGACGCTTCTTTTGGAAGATCTGCAGTTCGTTTCAGCTCAACCATTAAAGGCGAATAACTTTCGTCAGTGCTTGAGGTCTTAAGAAAGTAAAATATATTTGAAAAACACAGACATGTGCATCAATAATAAATCAAATGGATCCATTCATACACTTGCCAGAGCGAGAGTGAAATGGCTCAAACAGGATATTGGCTCCCCATTGTCACGTTTCCGTTCCACTAAAGAATCGGAAAGGTCTGTCTTAAATGCACGTAAATCATTCAGTTGAAAACGAAATAAGCTTGCGTTAATTACAAAATAATCAAAAGAAACACCTATCTTCAAGGGTTCTCCTTCACGTCTGTCAGCGCAAAAGACAGCGATAAGAGTTTAATAGCTTTAATAACATAACCAGAGCCAAGAGTGGTTGACTTTTGATTCGAATTAAAAACATCAGTTCGAGGGACACAAGTGGTGTAATATTACAGTAAAAGAGGGTGAATATTTAATCACGATATTAAACGCTAAGAAGGAAAATTGGTAGAGAATGTTTCAACACGAAGACCTCGTCGGTGGTTTCGTTGTGTTAATGAAAATCGAAAGGGGAATGCACGCAAGTAACTGAAAGCGATAAATATCGTGACGAATAACATGCCCTCGAGTTTTTGATATCTCCTTTTAAGGCTAAACAAGAGTAAAGTGAGAGGAAAAAGCCGAAAAGTCAAAGCTAAATTACGTTCACAAAATGAAAGTTTCCTGTTAAGGTAATGCTTAAATATATGTTTTGAGTTTCATTTAGTAGATCTAATGCAACGGGGATTAAACTTGATAGAGCTCCAGCTTATAGCGTAATCCTATCAAAGGCTAATATATTTAAAACTTCTAAAACCGATTCTTAGTGTGAAGATTAAAGTTGAAGCCTGTCTGTAAATACTTGAGGCTGTGCTATGGTGAGGGGAAAAAAATTTACCAATCGATGAGATGGAGAAATTTCAGTGAAAATATTATATTCAAAAGGTGATCATGACTTACTCTTTAATTTAAATCTTGCCTCAGTTGTTATGCGTTTCGTTGTAGATGTTTTTCCCTTTAAATCACAAACACAAAATTCGTTGGTTTCGCAGGACTCGAGTCAACGAACACCTGCTCCAGCAACTATGGTCAACCAAGTTTTGTGGCTTAGTTAAAAAGTCATTGTCACAGAATTTTGAAATCGTCTTTCAAGGCCTAGATTGTCTAAATCTGATGTCGAGTAAGGAGCCTATTTATGCACATGAGTTAATATATATATGAAATAAATAATATCATATACATGTCTTAGAGGTAAACTGAATCCGTTGCTTCATTCGCACTGACAATGCTTTCTTAGCCCCTCTGTTTCGAAAAAGATTTGAAAAGATTTGCGGCACCATTAGCTTATGACTAAATTCCTCAAGGAATGGACAAAATGAATCTCCACGAAACCGAAAACTCGCAGAACTAGTTCAGTATCAGTCTTGAATTACCAGCAACACGCAATTTTCGATTTAGTGTCGTTATTGCAGAACAATTTACGAAAGATAAAACTTGATAAAAGCGTGGGAAGACGTTTGTCAATCACCAAATATTTCTCAAGTCACGATTGTTTTAACTGTGTGTCTGATTGGCTACGAGAGTGGCACAAGTTTCCAGCTAATAACGTGACTCAAAACTATTCTGAATTACTGTCAACTTTCATTGCAGATGTCCATTTAGCTGAATATTAGCTGAGCACTACGGGACTTACCAGGTTTGGGCGGAATGCTGAAAGATCAAATTTTATTTTATAAAGCAGAAAAAAAATTTTTGTTGGTGCTAACCTTTAAAAATCGAAAATTGTCGTGTTTAGCATCCTCATCATATGAAAAAATGAACCCAAAAACTAAGAATTGAAATAAAACTTTCTCTGCAAAACAATTACACATGCAAATAGCTATTGTAAGAAAAAATTGTCATTTTGATGGGTAAAAAAATATTAATTAACCAAAGAGGGAACAACGGATAGCAAGAGTAAAATTTAAATTCGATTTGTAAAAAGAAATAAAAAAGAGTCGTTAAGGAAACCTAAGTTGGATCGATCGCTCTCCATCTTAAGCGCACAAGCTAAACACATCATTATCGAACGAAACAGATTATTTTGCCCGCCTTTAATTAATTTGAAATGAAGCAATGGCGTGCGATTTTATATTCAAGATAGTAGAGGAAACAAAATTAGACGTGACCAAACGGATGTTTCATGTTTTGAGTGAGGCTGCCTATGATGTGCTGAATATTTTCCTCATAAATTACATTCTACCCAATCCTTGCATCAGGAACGTCAGCAATATTTTCCTTCCTCTCTCTGAACCTAAACATTGTTTTGCTAAAGATGTCTGAGGCTCAACGTAAAATGCAATGAGTGGATTTCACATTTGTGAACTTCTCAGGGTGTTTTCTAGTCACAGCTGTCTGTTGGATCGAATTCTCATGGTCAGTTTGATTGTTTACCCAATCACTAGGTAGGTATAAATAAAAAATTTGACTCAACTGGCAGAAGTTCTGAGCTAGATACTTTGTAATCTTTACCGCACAAGATATCTTTTTCTCCTTGTGATATGAAAAAATCTATAACTAACATCGAATTAATCTATGATCTATGCAGAACTACATCCATCTATAGCAATTTGTGGTTTATTGAAAAATTAATCTTAAAAATTGATAAATTGTTCCTTTACATTAATATGATAGCACATTTAGAAGCGAATATCGAACTAACCACGACTCTAGTGACTCTTGTTTCCGTGCAAATTAAAAAATACCACTTTAGAATAAGAATCAGCAGTCAATGTCTATTTTGGTTATCCTAAGGGTGACAAATCTCAGCCCACCCCTTAAGTGCCGAACTGGAGGGCTTCCCCCATTGACTACATGACTGATAAAGCGACTTCACTGAAAACGGAGGAGGGGGGGGAAACCCGACTTTCCATCAGGTCGGGATGTGCGCTTTACTTTTTTGAACCTTCAGCTTTGTTACAGCGATTGTACAAAAGTTTCACCACTAATACATGTACACCATCGAATTATTCAAGTACACAGCCACCGAGTTACTTTCTCGATTTAAAGAAGTTCGTCACGCTCTTTGAAATCCTCTTCGATGAGGCCGGGAAGTTCCTTTAACTAAGGGGGAAATTGTTTTACAGAACTAACAGACACTAACGAGATAGAAATGAAACAAAAGGATCATGGACGGCAAAACCGGCTAAGAGTAGATTAACACGGATTGACAGCATCGAACTAAGATATGCAGCCTGAAATTTTTTTTTTGACGCCATGTCCGTAGCTTAGCTTTCACAGTTAAATTGTCACTGACCAATCATAGAATCCACTTAAGTCTCCCTGATAGAGACTAATAGATCTTCCTTGTTTTCGAAGAACGAAATTCACCAAGAGAATATAAAACAGAAGCAGTTTTCACAAGCTTTTTTATTAGCAGTTCCAAAATGAGAAAATTTTTCCAGACGATTTCTTACAAGTTAAATAGGTTGGTTGAAACGGTTGGCACATTTGGTTGAGTGGCTTTGAGTGTTAATGACATTTTGGTGCTGCAACTACTATTCTGTAATTTCAAAAATAGTTTATTTACCGCAGCACGATATTGTTCTAAACGTGCTTGAAACGAAAAGAAAAATGGATGTCTTTTACCGTCACAACTTCTTTACCGTAATGTAATAGCTTATAACTTCTTCATCGGTGGTAGTATGCGATAAAAAAGTAACGTGTAAACACAAAATTATAGTAAAATTCTACTGTGTGATTATAAATGACAGATTCCTCTTTGTGCTAAAAGAAACGAAGCGGGAGACGGCGTCGAGAGAGTTTAAGTTTGTCTACAGACTCCCCATTTTGAGTGGGAGTCTATCATTATACTATGTCCCTTGTCGATAATCTGAAGGGCAGTTCAATCGGGTAAAAAGATTAAAGAAAAACGAAAGAAAAATCATTCGCTAACACAGAAAACCGCCTAAATTCATATCGAGTTCATACGCCTAAGTAGATCAGATAAATCTGTCGGCTTACATGATGCAAAATTATGCTCAGTTCACATGTCTTGTTAAACCAGTTTCAACTGAATGAAAATCAGCAACGGAAAACGGAAAAGATGAATTTATATAGGATTCAAATAATCACGAACTTGCAGTCTCCTTATGCTAAATTTGAGGTCGACAAACATCAATCCAAGCAGCATCTATATAGGAAACAATTTCAACTCGAGTTTGACAAAACAGCTTTAGAACGTGTTTTAACTTTAGCGTTAATGGAGTTTCATTATTGAAGGAAAACCCAAGAGGTAAATTACGCAAAAACTAGTCTTTTGCACCTGCTTCCTGCGTCAAAGATGTAGAATGAACTCTTTTGGAAAATTAATCCTTTGCTGTCACAGAGCAGAAACAGCTAACGAACGTGTGAAAAAGGCACGACAAATCACACTTCAAAACCAACGACAACAATGAGCTTCATATGAAAGGGTAGAAATAAAAGCGGTGATGCAAGTCAGCTGGCGATGAAAATAAAGAGAAAGAAAGCTCCGGATGTCAAAAGACAATGAACTCTTTTTTTTTTTCTAAAAGAGAGAAAACAATCGACTCGAGACCAAAGTTTACGAATGAAAACTATTACCCATAGTTTTATTTGTGTATCTCCTCATCTTTAAGATTACGAAGAGAAAAGTCAATTTTAAAACAAGAACTTTCACAATTAACATTTTTAACACTTTCTGGCTCAAAACAACAATAGACAATTTCGTTACTTATATTATTCCCTTACCTTAAAAACAAAAGAGGAGCGAAGTTATTCCAGTGAGGTTTCACTGAATATGCAGTTTTTATCGCTGGTGCATCAATAGTTCAACCTTTGGGAAGGGAAGTTACAACTATTAATGGAACAGTTTTCCATTTATTAAGATTAACCAACAAACCCAACAGATGTTTGTGTCTAGAAACTTGTAGCTACCTGTCACGAAAACATTATAAAGACAGGAGCTCATTCAAAACAAAGCCGTTGAACTGAGCAGTTCTATGAAAAAAGTCACATTTAAAAAAGAAAGCCAAAAGTCGTTCTAATTAGAGTAAAATATATATAGTAAACTTTTTTTTAGTACATATCTAGCTTTTCATTTTACTGCCCTGAGGGTGCATTGAAACGTGACCTCCATCACAGCTTGACACGCAAAGTTAAAACATCTTCTGTTGCTTGAAAAATCGAAATGAGTGACTTGTTAATGAGAGTGTTTTCAACAAAACAAACTCTCATTTCGGATGTTTT